TAAGTGTGGTTTTTTTTGTTTCTTTTTCCATTTTTTATGCCAGTTAATTTAACCAGCATGGTAAGAAGTTTGATGCAATCACGGATATTATGGTATTATGAAAAATGGGTTGACAGCTGGCCGGTTAGTTTCTTGATGTGTGGTGTGGTTAATCGTGATTCTAGTAAAGATATGGACATGAGTCTCATCGATGATAAAAAAGTTTGGCATTACCTTTTTTTTGTTTATTATTTCAAATCTTATTTATTCGTGTTTTATTTTATAACTTATTTCTATTCCTCTAGGGTGGGAAAAATACCAACAATGGTAAAGAAGGAGATTATATTTTGGGCAACTGAAGTTTCGTGCAGGTGATACTATGTTATGAACAATTTAAAATTTTAAAGAAATAAGGCCATATGAGGTATGTGAGCATTTGATATTCTATTTGTTGGTGCCACACTTATAAACCTCGATCAATACCAAATATTCCCTTGAAAAGCTTCGAGTTCAAAAGCTTGAAGGCGATAGTTGATGAAGATTATTGTTCTGATATGTTGTTTCGTATGAGTTCATTCCTTATTTGTATTATACAATTTTGTGTATTTGATCTATTAAACAAAATACTTCTCTTGGTATTTGGACTTATTTTGCTATGCTAAGCTATAACTGGTTTTGAGGATAATGTAAGAACAAGCCACATTACCGCACTGTCGTGTTAATGTTACAATATATAACGTAGTAATCTTGACTATACTAGTTTAATCATAATAACTCATCTTGTTTGGGCGCCAATTATCGGATATAGGGTTGAAGTCTCTTACTCAAAGTACTCAAAGTTGTCTTGAAGACCGAACGAACTTCCTAGTGGTCCTCCATCCTCCATGTTCCGTTGTTCGTTCTCCCTCCTCCTTGTCCAAACCGTATGGGTGGATACCTATCAAAGGCACTTCGACGCTCAAGTTAGCAATGTAACCAAACGGTTGGCACAACAAGTGATGCATATATTGTGCATAGTGATCCTAAAGTCATACCTGAGACCTTTATTTATACTAGTTGTGATGGACCTTACTTTCGCTAGCCTAATGACGACCCAATCACACTTTAATATGCATTAGGGGCTTAATGAGTCATCATCACTGGGCATAACCTAGGAGGATGATCTAGTTGGACTGACTTGGAAGGACGACTTGGGAGGACCTGGGTGGACGGACAGAGGACGATCTGAGAGGAGGACCTGGTTGGATGGAGTTTGAAGGACAACCTAGGACGGCCTGGGAGGACGATCTGGTTGGACGGAGTTGGAAGCGGCCTGGGAGGACGACCTGGATGGATGGCCTAAGTGGTGCTTGGTATCACGACACACCGTACGTACACAAGCCCCCAAGTCCGAGCATGATGTTATTCTGCAAAGGGGTTCAGTACATGACCTTCCTGATAAGGATGGGTTCTCCAGTTTAGCTTTTGTCTCTATTTCCTCTTTTTGTTGATTCTACAAAGGGCTTTAGTAAATACCTTTGTCAGCCGAGCTGGATAGGTTACTCATCCTGCTTAACTGACATGTCGTGAAGATCTATGGTTATTAAATTTCGGTGACACCAATCGGGACTCCTAAGATGAGATCATGTGACCGACCTTCAATGAGGCCGATCGGGATTTCCTTGGTGAAGATCAACAATCGTCGACCTTCGTTGAGGCCGACCGAGATTCCTTTGGTGCAGATCCTCGGTTGCCGACCTTCGGTGAGGTCGGTCGGGATTCCCTTTGGTGGAAGATCCACTGTCCGCTGAATCCTCATTGAGGGCTTGTCGGAATCCTTTGTGTGTAGATCCATTTCCACGATCGTCGACCTTCAGTGATGCCGACCGACGATTCTTTTTGGTGAAGATCCACGTTCGCTTGACCTTCGATGAGGCTGGTTGTGGTTCCCCTTGGTGAAGATCCATGACGCGACCTTCGTGAGGTCAAACACTTGAGGTAAATTTTGGTTAAGTACTTGAAGGGGGAGCCGGAGGAGGCCAGCAGTTGAGGCCAAGGTATGGTAGAACGGTTGAGGTAAAACAATTGAGGCAAAATTTGAAGTACTTGTGAGTCCATGGGAGGCCGAGCAGTTGAGGCCAATGTAAGGTCGAACGGTTGAGGTGGAACAATTGAGGTCGAACACTTGAAGCTAAATTTGGCTAAGTACCTTTGAGGCCATGGAAGGCCGAACAGTTGAGGCCAAGGTATGATCGAACGTTGAGGCTGAATGGTTGAGCCGATGGTCGGCTGAGTACTTGTGAGGCAAGTTTGAGAAAGGTCCTGTTGAGACCAAAGTATGACTGACGGTTAGGGTGGAGAAGTTGAGGCCAAGGTATGGCCAAACGGTTGAGGTCGAACACTTGAGGCCAAATTTGGCTAAGTACTTGCGAGGCCATGGGAGCCGAGCAGTTGAGGCCAATGTATGGCCGAACACTTGAGACCAAATTTGGCTAAGTACTTGTGAGGCCATGGGAGGCCGAGCAGTTGAGGCCATGGTATGGCCAAACGATTGAGGTTGAACACTTGAGGCTAAATGTGGCTAAGTACCATTGAACCATGGGGATGCCAGCAGTTGAGGCCGCACCTTGAGGCGAATTGGCTAAATACCGATATGCATGGGAGGCCGAGTAGGTGCGGTTAAGGTATGGTCGAATGGTTGAGGACGAATGGTTGAGGCGAAATTTGGATAAGTACTTGTGAGGACATGAGAGGAAGAGCAGTTGAGGTCAAGGTATGGCTAAATAGTTGAGGTCGAATGGTTGAGGCCGAATGGTCCGTCAAGTACCTATGAGGCCAAGTTTGGAAGTAACCCTGTGAGATCAGGTACTGTCGAACGGTGTGGGGCTAAGCAGTTGAGACCAAGGTATGGCAGAACGTTTGAGGCTTAAAAATGGAGGTCAAATGGTTGGCTGAGTACTTGTGAGGTTAAGTTTGTGAAGGAATCTATGAGACCAAGGTATGGCCGAACGGTTGGAGCCGAGCAGTTGGGGCCAAGGTATGGTCGAATAGTTGAGACTGAATGGTTGGCCAAGTACTTGTGAGGCTAGGTTTGAGAAAGTATCTGAGACTAAGGTATGGTCGAACAGTTGGGGCCAAGAAGTTGAGGCTGGATGGTCGAGGCTAGAGGGTCCAGGCCAAATATTAGAGGCCGGATAACCAAGGCTAGATGACCGAGGCTGAATGGCTGAGGCCGAATACTTGATGCAAATGCCGAGGCAGGATGACCAGGTTGGAATGGCCAAGGTTGGATTGACATGATGCCGAAATCGTTAAAGGCCTGGCTTGGCCCGGGCCGGATGACCGAGCCGATACTTTAGGCCAATGACAAGGCCCGGATGGTCGAGACCAGATGGCCGCGCCGCAGGCTGAGGCCAAATGGCCGAGACCGAATAGCACGCCAGATGGCCAAGGTCGGATGGCCAAAGGCCGAAGACTTAGGCTAGATGGTCGAGGCCGAATGCTGAGGCTAGAAGGCCAAGGCCGGGTGGTTGAGGTCGGATGGCTGAGGCCGAATGGTTGAGGCCAGATGGCTGAGACCGAATACTTGAGGTCAAATGATCGAGGCCGGATGGCTGAGGCTAGATGGCCGAGGTCGAATGGCTAGGGTCGGATTGCCGAGGCCAAATACTTTGGGCCGAATAGTTGAGGCTGAATACTTGAGGCCGGATGGCCGAGGCTGAATGGTGAGGCCAGATGTCGATGGCTGCATGTCGAGGCCGGATGGCGTTCGAATCACTAAGAACGTATGGCCGAGGCGGGGTGGCCAAGGCCGAGACTGAATACTTGAGGCCAAATGGCCGAATGCGAATGGTCGATACCAGATGACCGAGGCCGAATGGCTGAGGCCAGATGGTCGAGGCCTAATGGCTGAGGCCAGATGGGCGAGGTTGGATGGCCGAGGCTGAATGACTGAGGTCAGATGGCCAAGGTCGAATACTTGTGGCCGAATGGCTGAAGCCGAATACTTTGAGGCTGAATTGGCCGACGCCAAATACTTGAGGCCGAATGGCTGAGACCATAATGGCCGAGGAAAATGGTGGAGCCCGGATAACCAAGGCCGAATGGCCCAGACCGAATAGCTGAGGCTGGACGACCGAGGCTGAAGGGTTAAGGCTGGATGACTGAGGCCGAATGGCTGAGACCAAATGGGTAAGTCATGTTTTGAGAATAGCAGGAGGCCCTAGTCTAAGGGAGGACACCTTAGGTGAGGGATAACGGGCTAACCTCGTGCGAAGCTGATGTGTTTCCAGTTACTACACCCACGAGTGCACGAACGGCCAAAGCTACATATTCATACAATACGGATGGTCAAGTCAAGTGTTCGTTCATTGCCTGTAAGTCTTGGTCCGGTCATTGTTAATGCTTGGACATGCTCGGTTTTGACCATGCTTATTATGTATTTATTTGTTAATTGGCATGATTAGTGTATCAATTCAAATATTCTGCTTACCCTTGCTTTTTTGTGCCTGTCTTGGTTTATTTGTTTCTTTTTTGTGATGATCACCTGATGGTGTGAGACTAGGGATACAACTTATTTCACGTTGGCTCATATAACAACGTTATAGGAGTATTTTCGGCTTCAGGTGAAGAAGTTGTTTCTTCTAAATATAGTTCTGTTCCTTTCTTTATCATGTATGTTTCCTTTTAGTAAATTTTTATTTCCTAATTGGTCTTACAATTTTATAGACTCGATTTTCCGAATGACTTATGTAACTCTGATTTTGGAAAGACTTATGTAATAGATTGATATTCATATTAAATTTTGCATTTGTTATAACTCTCATTATATGTAGAACCATTACATTTTTTTTACAGAGTTTTATCAATATGATAAGTAAATTCCCATATCATCCATTGGATATAGTCATTTTTTATACTCCTCCTAAGACTAATTCATACTCCTCCTCAAACCACACTAGACACAAAGTTTGACAAAAGGAATAATGAAAAAATAACAATAATATACTTTATTTGTTAGAAATGAAATTCTATTACATTGTTAAAGTCTGAATTTTTTCTCTATAGAATTTCATGATTGCAAGGATTCATTAGCTCTTTCATTTTTTTTAAACCCCAAGGCCAACCCTGGCCTTTTATATAATCAACCATTCTTTTTTGACACCCACGTCTGAGGGGGCTTTTCTAAAGCCCCACCCCCCAAAATCCCCCTGAAATGGGCTGGGATTGAATTGGGGCCAGGTTGGCCCCCTAGCCCCCATTGTTTTGTGCCACGATGAAGCATTTCCATTCTTTACGAAACAAACACTTTGTCTACGAGTTCAGGTCGCCTGTGACATCAACGTTAGAGATTTCCATAACTACAAAACCCAATTCGACCCTTCTCTCAATCACCCTTATGAGCTCAGAATTTCTCAGAACTGCAAAACATTTTGGAGGTACCCACTTCGTTTTTCACCTACTTCATGTTATTTGTCTCTCTATGTTTATGAGTGTGAACCAGAAATAATATCTTGAATGTGTTTGTTGGTGATATATGGGTGTGTCAATCAAGCCTAGGGTTCTCATTCCTCTTTTCTGTGCGTGCTTTGTGAGGAAGGAACGAATTCAGGTATGAGGAGCTAAACCCTTTCTCGATCGAATTTATTGGTTGTATGAGTATTAAGTGATGTTGTGTGATAGATATATTTCTTGTTGAAATTCACTAGTGGTTATGTATTCAATCTTAGAGGAGGTGCGATTATAAAGTGATTAGTCAGACAAACAATTATTGCAAGATCAACAATTATTGTAAGATAGAATTTAAGGAATGCTAGTCCTTTAGATTTCAATATGATTTGTAATGTCAGATTTCATTAAGAAAATGCTTTTTCACCAAGAAATTAAGCACTATGTAATTCAGGCTGGTCATAACAAAGGGCCCGGAGCTACTGAAGATTGGAACTTGTTAGGAAAGAAATATGCAAGGTGTATTTTTTTTGTTTAATTGCAATTTGATGTTTATGATATCATTAGACCATTGATAATCTACCTGTGAGCTAAATAATTTTTTCTAGTTACTAAATGTTGTGATGATTAACTAGTATGAGACATTAAGCATTCATGCTTGGAACTTCGAAGGATAATTACTTCAACAAAGGATTTGATCTTTTCATTACAACTACACCAATACCTGATCTAAGTGAAAAGCTTATTGTGTTTGGTCAAGTCATCAAGGGAGAGGATATTGTTCAGGTGCCTGAATTTGCTTAATTCTCATTATCACATCTGATATTCGATGTTCAGTTTTTATTTTTCCTTTTCTTTTGTTGCTGGTTATGTCCTTTCCTACTCCTATTAGCTAAGGTTATGCATATCATTTTAAATAATTTTTTCTGTTTAGTTATTAGTAGATTCACCAATTTGCATAAGCCATATGGTTATAGAAGTTAGTACCATATTTATCTTGACATATGAACAAATTGACTAAAGACAGTAACATCAGATAGAAATGAAAACATGGCAAGTCATGTGAATATGCACAAACAGACTCTGTCCAAAATTAGATTTCAGAATTCAAGCTAATACTAATGATTTCACAATCATATTCCAAGAAATTGAAGAAGTGAATACAAATGAACATTACCAACCAAAAATTTCTATTGGGATACTTGATGTGGCTCTTAAAGAGATGGTGTGAAAGCTCTCTGCCTGAATCAAAATCGTGAATAGTACTTTGTTGATAACATGTTTGATAAAATCCTCTCTACACAGATGAAGAACCTCAAGGATTTCACTTTAGGTTTGTCAATGCAACTTTTGATCTTTGATACAGTTTTAGCTACATGTTTCAATTGTCCATTCAGGGATTATTAAATCTTTTTGTCTATTTTCTGTCATTGTTCGGTCTTCTTTTGGTGTGGCAGGATGAATGTAAAAAGGTCTGTTGCCACTTGCCAGTTTGGTGATATCACCTCATATATATTTTGGCATTAAACTTCATTTGTAACCTCATATATATTCCCTTGAAGCTTGAAGTGCTATGGATCTTGTTACTGATATTAGAGCATGAAATTTCTAGGTTGTAATATGAATAAGACTTCAAGCTCGTCAGAGTCTTTTTAATGCACAATATTTTGTAAAATACACATGATTTGTGATTACTTGTATGATGATATTATGTTTCTGGACGTTAAATTTTGTAAAAAGAAAAGCTCATGGGCTGGCCCTGGCCTATAGGGCTTTAAGGGTTTTTAGCCCAGTGAACTTTTTTAATGAAGGGTTTTTTTTGGCCTTGTGAGCTTTTTTTGTCCAACCCACATAAGCTAAGACCAAATCTTATTAAAGGGACTCATTTGACAGCTTTAATCCTTAATATCCTTAATAATATATATTCATTCAAAATTCTTATCCCTCACCACCATTCACCAACATATTTAATTTTAATCATATTTCAAATATTATACTTCATAAATAATCACATCATACATAAGTTTTAGATTTTACTCATTCCATTTTCTAATGGTATATTTCAAAAGATAAATTAATTTGAATTTAAAACTTTCTATTTAAAAACTATTCATTAACATATTATTTTTATAACTAATTTAAACTCATTAAATTTTTATTTTATATTATTTTTAAATATAAAGACAAATTTATAATCTTCAAATTTTATCTATTAAAACTTTATTAATATGTGACATATATAAAATTATTCACAAACTTTTTCCTTAAAATTTAAGATTGATTAGATGTAAAGGTAAACACGATGTTATTATATATGGGACTACTGCTTCCTCAAATTAAAAATATAAAATTAGACTAAAATATATTTATTTTACCCACATGAGAGAAGGTATGCTTATTATTTTCTTTAATATGAAATTTTATTAATGAAAAAAATTAATGTTATGTTTTACTTCTTTAGAAGAGAAGAATTAATATTTTGTTTTTATTTTATATTAAAGTTGATAAAGTTGGATCTTTGTGTAATGAAAAAATATATTTACAACATTTGTGTATTCAATTTTTTTTTTAATTTTAACATAATTATTAACAATAAAATAGAGTTTTTGAGATAGGCAAATTACGGTGGGGAAACATGTTATAACAAATATTTTTATTCATTTTTCTAATATTTGCAGAAAATATTTTAATAGTAATAAAATAAAAAGTAAATTATGGCCCATGACATTAAACATTCAAACAATTAATGGATCCGAAGCCGAAATAGTAATAACCTATCCTTCTATTATTAAATAACATACAATTAGTAGTAACAACTGTAAAACAAATAAATGTGCTTAAGAACCAGCACCATGGATTCTTTATGCTTCTCATGAAGAAATACCAATAAAGAAACTAAAAGAAATAGTGTGACTAAGATATGTCCAATTACTCATTTTTTATAAGTGATGGAGAAGATGTATAAGATATTTTGAAGTTTTTTTTTATTGAGACAGAAGGTCAATTGTGTGTTTAAGGTATAAAGATGAGTTTTAGCTTCTTGTTTTTGTTTTTATCAAGTTTTTCAATTGCAAAAGCACACGACAAATGAACTTAGGCCCAACAATATATTGCTAGACCCATATTCTTTTTATTGCTTTTGTTGCCTCCACAAAAATTTCTAATCTCCTTTTTTATATTAGAGAAGGAAATAATAAATGGGATTAAGTTGTCAAATATATGAGATTAAGTTGTCAACCTTGGTTGGGTTTGAATTATAATGTTATTCCTTCCATAATATATAACATAAAAGATTACTTCTATCATGATCATCAAGAAATATATGTTATAGTCACTTTTTTATAATTAAGATAAAAGTTTATTTTTGTGAGGTATAAGGAAGAGTGGTATCAAAATATACAACAAAGGGAAAAAAATGTAGTTTAGGATATAGACATTCTCTTCTCATGATTTTCAAAAACAATTGTGATAAATTGTGTGGAAGATGAGAGTGTAGTGACTTCTAAAGAGGAAGTTCTACCTCGAGTTTTGATCTAAGACTAATTAAATTGTGATTTAATGGGATTATTTAGATTCTCTTAATATCCAACTTATATAAATAAATATATTTAGTTGCAAATAGAGAAAAGTTCCTAGAGTATGGTATTTCAATATAAAATAAGATCAAACTACAAAGGTATAAAGAATTTATCGAGTCATAATCGATGAGGCATTGGTATTAGTTATCTAAGAGTGTGCTTCTTAGAAATGGTATGATAAATGCATAATTTTTAAGTCTACTCAATACACATAGTCAAAGGTATAATTTTTTTAAACTATGAGGGTTATGGTTATTTTTTCTGTCAATACGAGTATGCTTTTGTAAACATTTGATAATTTTTAAAAGTACTTGATAATTAAATTGGTGGAATTTGAATTCATATTATGATTATTGTTTATATGAATGGT